TATTAGTTCTATAAGTTGTATCAAAAACCAACAAATCTCCAAAGTAATGATAATCTCTCATCATCCTACCATCACGCCAAAAAAAACTAACTAAAGCACCACTATCATCTTGTTCAAAATCATAATAAAAATCTGTCTCATCCACATGTCTCTTGGCAAAATATTTAATCAATTGGTTACCATCACATCCTTCAATTTGGGCAGCTTTTTCAGATGACAATGCATTATAAGCATCAGAAGCAGTAAAACAAAGATTAGGAGATCCCCCAACCTCCTTCTTTAGAACCCTCAAAGAATCAGTAACTTTGACTCCACTCAATTTCATTGTTGAAATGAAAAGAAGCTGCTCTTTATTCACATCTCTTTGAGACCTTATCAAATGCCTTTTTTCAGGAGGAATCATAGCATGATTATGAACCATTTCATGTCTTGTACATGTATAGACCCCTAAATGATCAATATGAAACTGCACAAAAGCTAAACAACCAGTTCGATGATCCAACTTCTCATAAATCCTTTTATTCTTACACTTATTATCTTTGAATCCCTCATTACAACAAACAAATCTTTTCATCAAAAAAGAATCATCTCTTCTTCTCTTACTCTTCCCAATTCGAATTCCAAAACCTTTCCTAAAAGCATATTCATTATACGCTTCGAAAGCTTCATCTTCAGATTTAAATTCTTTATCCTTTAATTCAGACTGTTCTGCTTCTAAATACATAATATCATCATTTTTTTCCACTGCACAATATACAATTATAAATGATCATAAAGAGTTTCATGAATGAACAATAACAAATAAGTAAAATGTTCAATATCAAAACAGCACATGATCAATTGCAAAAAGAATTTCAGCACATAATATTTTGAACAATATTTTCATTATTTACCACTACACATAATATCGATATAAAAATGTAAAAATAAATGATCAAAAATGACTTTAAGACTGAACATAAACACATTAGTAACAATGAATAAGAAAACATAAACGATTAATTGAAAGTATAATCTACAAAATATACGACAAAAACACACAATTCTAAAACACAGAGAAAACAACAAATGAAACAACAAATGAAGCAACAAAATGTTCATACAAAGTACAACAATCCAAAAACGTTCATCATAATGTAATCAAAGTAGTAAATTCAAAAATCGAAAGTGAATAATAATACATCAATTAAGTTCAAATTAACAGAGCATTATAACAGAACAAATTAGGGATAATTAAAAATTGAAAAATTATGATCACAATTACTCACATTGTTGCACAAACGAATCAACGAAACGAAGTCCAGAAGGAAACACACGCTCGCAATCGCGATCAAAATCAACGCAATCTCCAGATGCAGAATTCGCCATTGATGATCGGTAACAATTAACGAATTCGTTCAAAAAATCAAATGAAGAAGATGAATTAGCGAGAGAAAAATGTAGATCAAAAATGGAGGTTGGTTGATCAATTGAAGAGAGAGAAAAAATAGGGTTTAAAATCATATATATACATAAATTGAATAATAAGAATCAAAGGAAAAAGGAAAAAAGAGGAAGAAAAGAAAAAAAGAAAAAAAGGAAAAAAAAAAAAAAAAAAAGGAAAGAATCGCAAAAGGAAAGAAGCTGCACATGAGAACTCAATACCAGCTACAAAACGACGTAGCATAGGGGGGGTGTAGGGAACACACCCTACACTAGGGTGTAGGGTAAAATTTTCATGCGATTTTTGGTAAAGCTTGCCTCGAACTATCCCGACTCGAGAGACCTTATTTTGTTGCTTAGGCCCGGCCTTTACTATTATCAAATTGGACTATTTACTGGACCAGGTACCCACTGGGTAGGCCTGTACAAAACTATTTAAGAATTCGAAAATCCGATCCGCAACCGATCCGAATTTTAGGATATCTGATCCGAGTTTTCTTTTCGAATCGGATAACCGATCCGAAAAATCGAATATCGGATACAATTTCGGATATTGGTTTTTAAATTTTCGGATATCCGATATCCAAAAAATATCGGATATCCGAACCGATATTCGATAATTTAATGGGTAAATATTTAAATTAGATGTATTTTTAAAAAATGAATATTCCTAAAACAAATCAATAATCAGACAAACACCCCACTCACTTTCAAATTTCAATTTCTCACTAAAGTAAAAACCCTAAATTCCTCCCTTTCTCTCTCTACACTCACTTGCTCAGGCCGCCACCCCAGACCCCTCCTTTTATAGCCACCGGCCGGATAATGGGTATCAACCATTGATTCCTCCCCTAAATTCGAATTGCTCTGATTTTGTGGTCGTTTCTTGCTATGCGGCTTTGGCGGTTTGGTGAATGGGTAGCGTCGCTGCTGCACAACTGCTATTAGTGGGCGACAATGGTGGTTTGAGGCAGGGGATTGTGTGGGTGAGAATGACGGAGACGGAGGTTGACCGGTGGAGTTGGGGGTGTTTATTGTGGGATTGTTGTGTATGGTGGCGGAGGAGGTTTTGTTGGTGTTGCGGCTAACAAATATGTTAGGACAAAGGGCTAGACAAAGGGCAAATATGTTAGCACAACCCTTAAAGGTAATATATTTACCATAATAACCAACTTTAATTAATATTTTGAATTTCATATAATATTATATATTCCATTCATTTATTAAGTAAATTAGGTAATATGATTCATTTATTTTTCACAATACTAGAAAATATACATGTGAAGTAATAAAAAAAAAGTGACAGCCGAGACAACGCTTGAACCACACACTATATACAAATAGTTGAGCATAATTTTAAAATTAAAGAAATACACAAATTAACAACTCGAGACAGGCACGGGGCACAAACTAGTTTTACTTAAAAAAAAGGGAAAAAAAGAGAGTAAATGATGCCACCTCATTTACCCTATGTTTGAAACATTCATAACTCCTTTGAAGATGCTCAACTATCTACTCTCTACTCTCTACCTTTACTATCTGTTTTGCCATTCTCTCTTCTCTTTCATCTCAATCTCGATTCTCTCTTCTCTCTCTGTTTGGTCATCTCAATTTCGATTTTCGAATTTGCAGTCTACAAGTATAGTCACTTCACTTCTTTCCATGCCCGACAGGGAAATTAATCAGTCTAGCTACAAGTATAGTCATTTCTCCTCTACTCGTCTTCTGCTGCACAACAAATACCAATAAATATGTCTTCAAACTATCAAACCGAAACCTTAAGTGGGAAAAAGAGGAGAGAGCCAGAACAATCTGATTCCAGCAGCTCATCCTTCGTGAGTAATAAATTTTTGCTTTTAAATTTATTATCTAATATTTGTTTTTGCTAAATTGAAGCATGGTTTTGTTAAATGTTTATGATTTTGAATTGAAATTTTATAGGAATTGCATGCACTCTAGTTTATGTGATCAACACTTTAACGTGAGAAGCCCATTACTTAGTGAGAGACAAAGTTAAAGAGGTAAAGTTGTAAGAAACGACTTGTTCCAATTTGAAACCCCACGCCTAAGCTCAAACCCCACGCCCAAGGAAGAACCCCACGCCCAAGGAGAAACCGTACCCCACGCCTATCCTGATATCCCACGCCGAAGATGAAACCCCACGCTCAAGATGAAAGGCCTAAGATCAAACCCCACGCCCTAGGAAGAAACCCCACGCCCAAGGAGAAACCCCACGCCTATCCTGATATCCCACGCCGAAGATGAAACCCCACGCTCAAGATGAAAGGCCTAAGATCAACATCAAACCCCACGCCCTAGGAAGAAACCCCACGCCCAAGATGAACCCCACGCCCAAGATGAAACCCCACGCCGAAGATGAACCCCACGACCTAGGAAGAAACCCCACGCCTAAGATCAAACCCCACGCCCTAAAAGAAACCCCACGCCCAAGGAAGAACCCTACGCCCATCATGAAACCCCACGCCCTAGGAGAAACCCCACGCCTAATGTATCAACCCTACGCCCAAAACTCAAACCCCACGCCCAAGGAAGAAACCCCACGCCCTAGGGGAAACCCCACGCCTAATGTATAAACCTTATGCCCAAAACGCAAACCCCACGCCTAAGCTTAAACCCTACGCCCTAGGAAGAAACCCCACGCCCAAAGTGGAACCCCACGCCTATCATGATACCCTACTCCCTAGATGAAACCCCACGCCTAAGATAAAACCCCACGCCCTAGGAAGAAACCCCATGCCCTACAACGAAGCTCAAACCCCACGCCCAAGGAAGAACCCCACGCCCATCATGAAACCCCACGCCCTAGGAGAAATGGGTACGGAACAGGGGGAGCAACAAGCGCGCCCGCGCCACCAGCTTGCGTGGCCGCGCCATTGTCGCGCGCGTCTGCGCCCGGGAGCAGGGCAGCTCTCTTTCCCTCCATAATGATGTTCTTCGTGCGCTCCACTTAGTGTGCTTGATAAACACGGAGTAAGGCAGATTCCAAGGGACCGCCATGGTGGGTTCAACACCGAGAATGGTGCCCCCACAGCTTGAAAGCACGCCTTTAGGAACTTGGAACTTGCACATCTTCATTCTTGAGCTTCAAATGGAAGGCACTAGGCATCCTATTCCATACAAAACTCGGGGGAGGAACCTTGGGAATCCTTGGACAACGATCCTAAACTGAAAATTATACATTTTTGTACACAATTTTTTACATATTTTTGAGGGTATAGTTGGTAGCACACTATTCCTAAGAGTTATTTTCTACTTTTTATAAGGTAGAGATATAATGAGATATTAAACCATTTAATGAGATTATATAATTATCTTTAGGATGATAAAATTTAAAGATCATGTTTTGAATGACGTGATTTACTATTTGATACTTTTTATAAGGGTAAATTCACAATTTGAGTTATACATTTACAAAATAGTAGACCGGGTCTATTCCAATTAAAAATGTTATTCAAAATGATATAGTAGACCGGGTCTATTCCAATTAAAAATGATATAGTAGACCGGGTCTGTTCTAGTATTTGTATAAATCGTTACCAATAAGTCAGAGAAACGGTAGTATTTGAAAACTCCACGACAAAGCTCAGATCTCCCCAATTTTCGACATTTTATCTATAATCCAAAATTCTAAAATTCTTTCTCTTTCATAGCCCACCACGTTGTGTTCCTCTCTTTGAAAGCGAAGTTATCTGCAGTTGTTGCAAGTGTGAAGGAGAAGAAAATAATATTTTTTTTTTAAAGAATACCCTAGTAAATTGGAGCTTTCTTAGTTCTGCAGCAATTTTTTTAATGATCTGTGAAGTTGTGCGTGTATATAACGATCTGGGTAACATCAGATGAAATGGGTTGACATTATTTCTTGAAATTAGTTGTTGGATTTTGATTTCAGTTGCGAAAAATGGCGCTTTTTAGGAAGTTTTTCTACAAGAAACCACCTGATGGGTTGTTGGAGATTGCTGAAAGGGTTTATGGTACGTCTTTATTATTGGTTTAAATTTGCAATTTTTTGATTTTTTTTTTCCCAGCAATTTTTAGAATGATTTGATACGGAGTTTGATATTTTGTGTTGAATTTGATGTGATTGTACTCTAGTATGCTTTTATGGATTTGATGATTTAAACTTAGAATTGAGGCCTAGAAATTGATGGGGTTTGTTGGAAATTGCATCAACTTTTTGATTGCTGATTAAGGGTTGCAATTATTAGATAAATGCGAATGGAGGAAAAGGATATTTTTAGACAACCAAGGGAGATAAAAGACTTGGTTCGTGCAACCAACTTCATACTTTGGCCTTTTCGATTACCGCTTTGGTGTTGTTGTATGGTCTGACTAATCACCTTTGGGACCTGCATTTGTTTCTGTTGAGCTTTGGTTTAGTTGATATTAGTGAGGGTGATTTGGAATAACTCAGATATGGATCTTCTTCTGACTCGTCTATTACACAAGTATGATGCTAGGGAGGAGTTTGTGTTGTGGTATCATTGGATTATAATTGGTTGGATTGTTGCTCATGAATGTGGAATCGATTTAGCTAATGGCTGGAATTGTGGGAAACTATCTCTAGTCTTTGGTTTATCGTAGCAAGGCTGTAAATTATTGGGAATTCAACATTTCCCTACATTAGGTGGGTATATATCAGGTTTCAGTAGCTTACTTGCTGGGTATTATCCTTGCTAATTGGATCTTCAATGCTTTTTCTGTCATTATTACTGGGGTATTTGTAAGTATTGTCTGGTTTTAGTCATATATAATTCTCAACTGATGCTGCTCAGTTTTGGCTGAGTCTTTTCCTTGCTAGTTATTTTCAAATGGCTGGTGGTTATCTATTTGTCTGTTGCATAGTCTGGTTTTCTTAGATTAATTAATCAATGTTGCGTAGTCTGGTTTTCTTAGAATAATTAATCAATGTGGATTGGTTTTGGATAATACTTAATCTCTATGTCTGTGCTTTAATGTATGTTTTGTGATATTTTGTATCTTCCCTATGGGATCATGTGGATAAGAAGTTTCATTGCATTAAATAGAGTAAGGGTACGAGCTATTGATTCTAGATTTCTAGGTGCTAGAGCCTAAACATCAGATACTAACTAACATGCTTTAGTAGTTGTCTACTTGTATAATGTGGAATAGAGTGTAATGAAATCATGATTTTTACATTCTTGATAAGAGGCTATGAGCTTTGAGGACCTTGTATTTTGCCCCTTTTGGCTCACTTGTAAGTTGTGAAGTTAAGACAACTTATGCTACTCGTCCTTTTCACCTTATTTAGGAACTTATTACTTATTCTTATTAGAATTAGACTAAATTGACCAAGGCTAGAAAAGTTAAGACCTCACCGGTGTGGTCTAAATTTAGTCAAGTCAAGATATTGGGTCTGTACCTTCTTCTTATATTAGTGTGCAAAAATGGTCAAAACTAGTAACATCAAGATATCAGATCTGTTTCTTTCTTCTTATATTAGTGTGCAATTGCTAATATGGTCAAATTTTAGTCAAAGGTGGTCTAAATTTAGTCAAAGGTGGTCTAAATTTAAAAATAATATTCTCGTTGGTATCCTGGAAAATCGGGTGAAATTGTTTTATGGAAGAAATATGAACTGTCAAAAGAAATTATACGGAGTAAATAGCTTTGGAGGGAGTAGCATTTGCTGTTTGTTTATTTGAAAAGTTGTTCATGATTAATTTGGGTGGGGAAATAAGGTTTGTGGAGTGGTTTTAAATTACTTTTTATTATTGTAAGGAAAGAAGAAGATGGAAACTTATGTAAGACTTATGAATAGTTTTTGCATGTGGGTTTTTTCTTTGATCTTGAGATCTGATTTGTCAATCTGTGCCACACAGTTTTAGGCATCGTGTCTTCCTTTTTCATTTTTGGACTTGAACATGTTACTAGGCTTGGTTGTATTGATCAAGTTTCCTTGTGAATTTGTTTTGAATTCGTGAATTTTTGTGTTTGCTTAAGTAATTTGGGTTTGGATGAGGATTGATTTCCAACCAAGCTTTTTGTCTTCTCATTATGCATCCTTGCCTGTTCTCTCTAAATAATTTTATCTGTAATTTTTAGAATTCTGTTATTCACCTGTTTGATAAAATGCTTTTGTGATATTTGTGACACATGTTTGATTCTTCTAGTTGAGATAGCTGTTAAAGCTTACTGTCCTGATAATGAGCTTTTTTTGTTGCTTAGTCTTTGATTGCTGCTTTACAACGGATGTGGTGGAGGATGATAATTATCAAGGCTACATTGATGGAATAGTTAGTCAACTCTATGGTCATCTACCTGATGCTTCGTTCATGGTTTTCAACTTTCGTGAGGGAGAAAACCAGAGCCAGATTGCGAATATGCTGTCGGAGTATGACATGACTGTAATAGATTATCCTCGGCAGCATGAAGGTTGTCCTTTGCTTACATTGGAGATGATTCATCACTGTCTGAGATCTGGTGATAGCTGGCTCTTGCTTGGTCAACGCAATGTTCTTTTAATGCATTGCGAACGAGGTGGTTGGCCTATTTTGGCATTCATGCTAGCCGCACTCTTAATCTACAGAAAGCTATATAATGGGGAACAGAAGACACTGGATATGATCTACAGACAAGCACCTCGCGAGCTTTTGCAGTTGATGTGCCCGTTAAATCCAATTCCCTCTCAGTTGAGGTATCTTCAGTATGTATCAAGGAGACACTTGGACTCAGAGTGGCCTCCCCAGGACAGGTGCCTGACTGTGGACTGCATAATGCTTAGGCTCATCCCTAATATTGATGGGGTGGGTGGTTGCCGACCTATTCTTAGAATCTATGGACGAGACCCTTCACCTGCTGCTGACCGAACTCCTATAATGCTATTTTCAACTCCAAAAAAAAGTAAAATTGTTCGGCAATACAAGCAGGTAAAAAATGGCTAACGATTTATCTGTTTGTCCTTGTGATATGTTTTCCCTTGATGTCAATCTTTCACTGGCCTGTGCTTCGACTGGGTTGTAAGGTGTACTTTATTTTCTTATCTTCTTCTGGTTGGTGATGTTTTCTGTATATGCGACATGAGATATTTCCATCTTTGATATTATGTCTCATGAGATTGCTAGTCCTTCTTTCTCTGTTGTCAAATACTAATTTTTTATTTTAATTTTTATTTTTAAAATGTTATGCGTGACGCCCTTCACTTATCGGTTTCTTCTTCTGATTATATTCCAGGCCGAAAGTGAATTGGTGAAGATTGACGTTAACTGTCATGTTCAAGGGGATGTAGTGCTTGAGTGCATAAGCTTGGATGATGATTTGGAACGTGAGCAGATGATTTTCAGGGTTATGTTCAGCACAGCATTTATCAGATCCAATATTTTGATGCTTAATCGTGATGAAATTGATACCTTGTGGGATGACAAGGATAAATTTCCGAAGGACTTCAGAGCTGAGGTACCCACGTTCCAACCCCTTTTGTTTTTGCTTACTCCACTTGTGTGTGTGTGTGTGTTTTTGTTGTTGTGAGATTCAATGATTAACATGAGTATATAAGATAAAACTTGAATTATGTTTTGGTTTTTTTCTTTTCCTGAAGGTTCTTTTCTCAGAGATGGACTCTGCAACCTCTGGCACTTCTATTGATATGCCTGTTACTGAGGAGAAAGAAGGCCTTCCTATTGAAGCATTTGCAAAGGTGCAAGAGATTTTCAGCAACGTGGATTGGATAGATTCAAAGTCTGATGTCGCACTAAATGTTCTTCAGAAAATTACTTCATCAAAAGAACTCAAAGAGAAATTGGATATAGCTTCTCATGAGAGTAAAGAAAGTCTTGTGGGTAATTTGAAATCACTTGTCCAGGAAGACAGCATCATGGGATCCTCAAAAGGGACTCTTGAGAGGCAATCCCATTTCTCTTCTGAAACAACAGTAGAAACCCATATAGGCTATATAGTTGGACAGAAGTCTGATGCTCATAAAGAAGGTGTTTCAAATATTGTCCTAGAAAATTTGGAAAATGCTAGTCTGCCCGAGAAATCTAGCATTATTGTAGTATCACATCCTCAACAAATTGTTGAAAAGCTCTCAAAACAGTCCTCTGGTCCTTCTCCAGATGATATTGTGGTTCCAAAGAAGGGTCTACCAGAGGACTTGGTTCCTGTTCTTCAAAAAACTACTCAAACAAAGATAATATCCCCTCGTATACTTCAATCTTCCCGTTCAAGTTCTGCCATATATAGCAATTCCATGCAAGGTTCTCCAAAACCTATGCAAAGATTTCATAGTTCACCGTCTTCACTTGGGATTACAGCGCTTTTGCATGATAATGATACATACAAGAGTGATGCGGTTGCTCATCAGGAGGCAATATCTCCACAATCAACGGCTACTTTGGTCGCTTTTGTACCCGAAGTATCTAAACCTGGACAAAACGTTCTCTCATCATCTGCATTATCTCAACCACCAGCCCCTCCGCCATCTTCTCCTCCTTTACCTCATATTCATTCAGTATCACAACATAAAGATTCTCCACCAGCATTACAACCCCTTCCACCTGTAGAATTAGAAAATGATATTGTTTGTCGTACAAATCCATCGTCAATCCCTCCACCCCCACCCTTGCCTTTTTTTAGATCTTCAACTGTCCAGAACACATCATTTCCTCCTCCTCTTCTTTTTGTGAATGCAGGAGGCGCATTATCAGCACCACCTCCTCCCCTCCCTCTGCCAACATCTTTTGGACAATCTCTTTCTTCAAATACTAGGGTTCCCTTGTCAACACCACCACCTCCACCTCCTCCTCCACCTGTATTGCAGTCCCCATGTTCTAGTGCTAGGAGCACATTGTCAATCCCTTCTCCTCCTCCTCTGCCTCCTCCACGTCTTCCTGAGAATGTTTCTTCAGCTATAGATTCAGATTCATCTATTAGCAGCACACGTGGACCAGTCAAAGCTCCTCCACCTCCACCTCCTCCATGTCTCCCTGAGAATGTTTCTTCAGCTATAGGTTCAGATTCGTCTAATACCAACGCACGTGGACCAGTCAAAGCTCCTCCCCCACCTCCGCCTCCTCCACGTCTCTCTGAGAATGTTTCTTCAGCTATTGGTTCAGATTCGTCTAATACCAACACACGTGGACCAGTCAAAGCTCCTCCTCCTCCTCTTCCCCCAAAATTGCCTGTTTCTGTTGCTAGTCCTAAAATGTCTTCTCTAGTGCCTCCACCACCTCCACCTCCTAAAGGTGCCTCTTCTAATGTTGGGTCCTCAACTTCAATTAAAACTCCACCGGTGCCACCTCCACCGGGTCCTCTTGGAAAAGGAGTGGCAAGAGCTAATAGTTCTGCTCAAGATTCTCAAGTGGCTGGTAGCAAAGGACCAGTTCCTCCACCCCCTGGACCCACTGGTTTAAAGGGTAGGGTCCCACCTCGTGTTACCCCGAGGAATCAGGGTCAACCAAAAAAGAATGTAAAGCCGTTTCATTGGTTGAAATTAACAAGGGTAATGCAAGGAAGCTTATGGGCTGACGCTCAAAAACCTGATGAGGCTTCCAAGTAAGTGTTTGATCCCTGCTTGATAATTTTTTTTAACTGCACAGTTTAGTCCAAAGCTTTCTGCTGAACCCTTGTAATAATTTCAATATTTGACAGAGCTCCAGAGTTTGATATGTCAGAACTTGAGACCCTCTTTGCAGCATCTGTTCCAAATGCAGACAAGGGTATCACTGGAGGGCAATCGGGTCGTCGTACTTCAGGGTCTAAACCTGAAAAAATTCAGCTGGTAATTTGTGTTTGACTTTCAATGTTGGCTAGTAATAAAAAAATCATTTTTTTTTGCTTGCTATTCATTAGTTTTCTTAGAATCACCTATTTTCAAATCCAACATCTGATCTGGAAGTATTTGGTGGGAAATTTAACGAATAAATAATTAGATAGTAATTAATCTTTGGCTTGTGCTCTTCATTATAACGTAGCATGTATTAGCTACTGAAAGGTTAATGAAAACAGACTAGAAGCATGCAATCGGTAAGTTGTCAATTAGATACTTAATGGCCTCCATCATAGTATTTGGCTTCTTTGGGGCAAGGCTTGGACATCTGAGCCTCTTGAGACCCTACCTCAGTGTGAGTCATACTTGATGAATTTGTTGAAGAAGAAAGTGGACAAGTGGTGCACTACATTGAATCAAAGCATTCCCAGTCAGCAAGCTTGTTTGGGCTAACCTTGTCTCCTCTTATCTAGTGGCTTAATTTCTTGGCTGTGCTTTACTTATCATCTACTCTGAGTCTTGACATTATGTTATGTGCCTCTGCTGCCCTAGCAAACTAATGTATTTTGCTTTTATTTTATTTTATTTTATTTATTTATTTATTTATTTATTTTATATATCTTTGTCCATGGCTTTTCTGCAGATTGAGCTTAGAAGGGCTTATAATTGTGAAATAATGTTTACAAAAGTGAAAATTCCTCTGCCTGATTTAATGGTAAGGTCATAACTGTCGGCATGCAAATAAAGCCTAGGGTTTGATGATAATTTCTATTGTAGAGAATTAACAGATAACTGAGCTTGCTGATTATTGTCACTCAGTAGTAATTAGGGAATTACTTGGCTGTGGTTATGATCACATTAACAGTTGTGGAACCACTTTGGCAGGCAATACGGATGGTTTGAAACTGTCACGGCATATTATGATGGTTGTGTTTAGCTGAAAAACCTATAGTATGTGGTGGCACATGTCACTGCAGCCAAGATTTATTTTCCTAGTAGAATATTAAAAACAGAATGGGTTTGAGAGGGTTTTTCATTAATTTTTTCTTTTTTGGTATCAACTTTATTGCAGAATTCAGTACTTGCTTTGGATGATTCAGCTTTGGATGTTGATCAAGTGGAAAATCTTATAAAATTTTGTCCAACAAAGGAAGAAATGGAGCAACTGAAGGTAAGTTATTAGACAGAGGCAATTTTGATTTGGAATGATCCATTAATTTTTTATCTTTTGGATATATGTTTAAATTTTATTGTCTGTATTATGTTGTGGGATTATATTGTCCTTTTAGAAATCATTTTTTTTATTTCTTGAATATTTTGTCTTTTTTAAGTCTTATGTAAAAAATTCTCTGGTTCAGGGATACAAGGGTGATAAGGATAATTTAGGGAAATGTGAACAGGTTAGTCAATTCTTTTTCTTCTTCTATATTTAATCTTTTAACTTTGCACATCAATGCTTTTGAACATTATGGGAGACCAAGATCAGTGAAGCTCAAGATGACATAGTACCAATTAAATTAATCCGATGCTTAATATATGGTTATGTTGGGGATTGATTTAATTTGGTTGCTGCTATATAATGTTAAAATAGGCCATTTTGATTTATGTATATTCTTTTTAATTCTGAAACAGTTCTTCTTAGAGTTGATGAAGGTGCCTCGAGTGGAGTCGAAACTAAGAGTTTTTTCATTTAAGATACAATTTATCTCTCAGGTTTGTTGATTAATTTTCATTTTGATCTAGTTCTGCAAACTTTGTCTAGATTGTTAATCTGTGAATTTATAATACTTTCAGGTGTCTGATCTTAGAAAGAATTTACAGATAGTGAGTTCTGCTTCTGAAGAGGCAAGTATTCTCCATGAGCTCTTTGCTTTTTCCATCGCCTTGTTGGTGGTTGTATTTTTTTCTTTAATTTCTTTCTCGAAGTGTCTATTACATATGTGATTATGCAATGACATGGCTTACCATTTTCAGATCAGAACATCAGTAAAGTTGAAAAGAGTCATGCAAACAATTTTGTCTTTGGGCAATGCATTGAACCAAGGGACTGCTCGAGGTGGGCTGAGGTTTTTTTGATTCATTTGAATCTCTTTCTTATATTTTTGCCTTTGAATATCCATGAACATGCCTGCAGGTGCTGCTGTTGGGTTTCGACTGGATAGTCTCCTTAAACTCACTGATACGCGTTCTCGGAATAGCAAGATGACACTTATGCATTACCTGTGCAAGGTAAATCAACTTTCCTAAGTAATTTTGCATTATCTTCTTTTGGCATTAGACATAGTGTGGACAATTGACTCTTGTGCCTGTAAGCGCAATATCCTTTTTTTTTTATTCAACTGGCTCTACTCAATTTGTTTATCTTGTACATCTTTGCTATGAATTAGATGGCAGTAGAAGTAATATGGAAAATATAGCTTGTGTGCATGTTAACACACTAATCTTTCCCCCTTTATTTTGAACAAGGATTTTCGTAAAGTGCTTTAGTAGGTATATGAAAATGTGGTTGTTGGAATTTATATCAGCATGAGTTAGGTATTTATTTCTTTTTTACATGAGAAAAAGAATAGTTCGTGAAGCAAAAAAGCTTTAGGCTAGTTAGCTTTCGCTTATGTGTATGCTCCCTCTGTCCCAAAATATTCTTGAAACTTATCATGAATTCATGATATGTAGTTTTAGGAGGTTATCTGTTGTTTGGTATCAATTTCTCCCTTTGTCTTTGAAGAAACACAACTTTATTCTCATAGACATTACTTTTGGTCAAAGTAGAAAAATGGAGAGAGGGAGAGAGAAAGAGAGAACACTTACTTTTTGTAGTGGGTAAAAGGAATTGTTAGCACATGACACTGGCTGTTTTCAGCCTCTCTTTTGATATTAATCCGTACCATACTGGTAGTGAAAGGTTCATTAGAACTATGTGAAATCACTTCCTTGATGAGTTGTTTATTTTTCTTGGGATTCAGTAAGTCTGCATGAGATTCGATACCTAGTTACTTCAGATGCTCTATCATTATTACTTCTAATATTTCCATTTAGTATACTCTTGTGTTTTCGATTTTTCATCTTCTTCCGAATTCCCTTCTGAAACAATCATGGGAGATGTTCTTTTTCACGGATTAGGGGAAGAGTCCGTTTGCGAGCTATGAAGGATGGATGGTTATGCTATTGGTAGAATGTTTTAAATGGAATCATATTTACGCTCTTCATGGAAATATGTCACGGGCTTCTTTTTTCTTTATGGATTTAGGATTGAAAGGATATGTGGAATAGAAAATTAGAGAGGAAGCCCCATGTCTCTTCTCCTTACTTATGCACTCAACAGGCAGCACTAGGGGTGAGTGTAACAGCTAACAAGGTACCTTGTCAAAATCCTAGGAACAGAAACCGAAATCGGATTTTGTTGAACAGGTTCCTGAAAAAATGAGAACTGGTGGGTTCCGGTTCAGGTATCCTGTGTTTTATTTGTACTAGGGATTCTTACACGCGCATCGCGCGTAGTGGCTAGCCCTTTGAGGAGAATTATTACTATTGGTCTTTTTGTCTTATAAATATTTTCATGATCCTATTAAACAAGTCATCATACAATTATATACTCCAAAAAAAAAAAAAATATGGAGAGACTAAATGATGCTTTAAATATTGAAATAAACACAAATAATTAATCTATTTAGGGAATTCAAGAGACAATTTTAATCATACAATTATAAACTCTAAAACAAAATATATGGAGAGACTAAAAGATACCTAAAATATTGAATAAACATAAATAATTAATCTACTTAGGGTATTCAAAAGACAATTTTAAGGTTTTTGAATTCAATGAGGACAAATACGTAAAAGAAACACTTTTAGGGATATAAATGTCCATGCACTATTCATAAGAGATTTCTTAAACTTTTTATAAGGTAGGGATACTTAATAAATTGGTTCAAAAATAAAAATTTATTTTGGATACTCACGAGTCACAAAGTCAATAGCTTAAAATTCTTATAAATCACAAACACAACTAGTTGTTTAGGGTTTATTTAATATTGGGCTCATATGAATCAGGCTTTATTGATCGGTTCCGATTTTGGTTTAGGGTACTTGGAACTTGAACTTGTGTTAACAAGATACCTTACAAGTTCTTGTTCCAAAAACTTGAGAACTAGTTGCAACAAGCTCCCAATTTTAGTACTCGGAATCGGAACATGTGTTTCAGGATTTTGCTCATCCCTAGACTCATCACTATACATGATGCCTAAGAGAGTAAGAAGTTCAATAACAAATTCCCTCTTTACTAGTACTAAAAAGTAGTATCTATCATGCTGACTAATTTGCAATTACTTCAAACAATTATGATTCCCTTAATAGGTAAGTGTAGATGAGGGACTGATTTCGTTTAACTTGTAAGGCTTTTTATTCTTTTCATGAATTATGTTTATTTGTATATGTGGAGTTATGAGGGGAGTAATTATCTATTATTATTATTATTATTATTATTATTATTATTATTATTATTATTATTTTTTTTTTTTTACTTTTTACAAAAATATGATTTATGAGGTGGTTACATATCTTTGGATTAGTTTTTTTTTTTTTAAAACAAAAATGTTTATCACGACCTCATGGGTGTCTTGTAACTTTGGGAGGAATATTGTGGTTTTTTGGAGACCTCTTTGCCAAGTTTTTTAGATTTTTGGTAGAGAATAATGATAAAATCTTTTGGAGTAAGTGCCAGATAGGGTTGTTTACTATGCATTTCTTTGGTTGTGTTTTATGGAAGGGGTTTTTGCCTAGCTTGTAAAAAATAAAAAGTGGCATTAGAATTTAGGAGGTATTTTGGAATTATATCCTCCTATTTTTTTAGATGATTGATAGGGCTCAGTACACTTTTTAAGAAAGAGGAGAGAAAATGTATAGAAATTCTTTAATTAAGCTTTGTTTAAGAGTAATCAATTGATTAATTAAACCTGCCAGCTCACCACTAATCACCACACCAACCAGTCACCACAACAATCAAGACTTCATCGTCAACTTCTTCTCCGTTGTCTTATCCGAATTCTCCGCCGCCGTCCATTTCTTCCTCATTTGCAACCCATTGTCTCTCCTGGCCCAAAGTCCAGACCACATGCTCTTCCGCTGACTTTGATTTCTTCATCTTCAACCCCTCTTATCTTTCTTTCTCTCTCTCTTCCTTCTCTAGATTTAAACTCTTTGATTCTCTTTCTTTCTTCTCTCTCCAAAATACCAAAAAAGTGGTGGTGGGTTATATATGTACATTTCCGATTGGCGGTGAGTGATTTCAGTGGAGGTGGCGGTTTGGTGGAGGGCAGTAATTTCGGCAAGGAGAGAGAATAGATCGAGCTCAGGGTGAGGGTGGTTTTCAGCGAGTTAGGTTGTCTGTTCGGTGAGGAGGATGGTGAATTTACTGCCTGTGTGTTTCAGCTGGAACTCTGGAAGGTTATTCATTAGATTGGGATGGTGTTTTGTTAGACTGAGGTGGTTGATAGTTGATGTGGTGGACTAGGTGGTGGTAAAAACTATAAAGGACTGGGGTGGTGGCTTGATAGGATGATTGATGGTGGTTGTGGGAGAGTATGTGTAATTATCAAAACTACTTTACTTTAATATGTGTGAAAAAACTTTCCATTTATGGTAAAGGTCAAGTATTGGTGACATTTTCATTTTAAGAAAGTTGGTTAAGTAAAGAACGAAAGAACTATAATCATAAATTATACTCCCTCTGTCCCTAGTTATTTGCCCTGTTTGACTTTTAGTGGTCTTCAAGACTTGTTCTTAAACCGGATTTATCTCCATTTTCATTTGTGTAAAAATTTGTCTGCTTCTTTGTTATGCATTTTGAATTGGAAAATTGTTTATTGTGCTAAATTCAGACATTCAGTGAAATTTGTTTGGACAACTTTTCAAGAGTGGCCTCTAAATTAGGCTTTGTAATATAATATTGTATTAAATTTGGCGCACTGTGGGATTCTTCTTGTTATCTGCAGATTCTTGCTGATCAACTACCTGAGGTATTGGATTTTCCAAAAGATTTGGCCAATTTGGAGGGGTCAACAAAGGTATATAATCTTTATTTCGTTCTTATTCTCGTTATCATACATTTTTATTGCTTAATCTAGTTTGTAAGAAGGGATAATAATATGCCAAATGGTTTTTGAAATTATGTTATAACTAACTATGTGCAAATCCTATTTTCTCAAGGTAAGTGGTACCATCATCCTGTTATTGTGTGAATATTTTTAGGTTGGATAGGTTCCTATATGAAGTAATGAACTGTGTTTTTTTGTTTACAATTAAATAATTGCCATTTTCTCAAGGTAAGTCTCTCTTGTAAATCAGATACAAGCAGGGGAAGTAGAGTCATTAGAGAAGCTACATTTCTCTTTGCTGAACATGTCAAGTGTTTTTCTGGATTGGAATTCAAGTTCAGTTTTAAGTGTTAATGGAACTCACAGAGGGAACTATGCCTCCTATTCAATCGTAACTACAGACTTGTTCATATTATCACCAGTGACTTTGCTACATTAAAATCATCAGTTTCTCGAAATTTTCTCAAGGCTGACCTTATGGTTGTTCCATCTATCACTCCTAACAAAAAACGCTGTGATATTTTCCTGATATGCCCAATATTGTGCCCCAGTTATATATTGATGGTATGGTAACTGTAGCATTTAGTGCACTAAAGTGTACCCGACTACCTGTGCAAAATGCCCAGGATATATAGTACATAGAAAGATATTAGAAAATATTATAAAAAATTATGTTTCAAATACAAAAGTTGATTTTGATATAGTTATACAAAAAGTTGATTTCGTGCATCAGTACGGGTACGTTTTAGTAAAGTAAAATGGATAGTACGTGCGAAAGAAAAAATAATAAAAAGTAGTAGAAATGAAAGTCACATAATTATTTCTTCTACTCATGTTTTGCACTGGAATTGTACTAGCTCTGAGACTGCCGCTGCTGTAATTGTTAGCTGCACTGCTGTTAGCATGCCACATCATTGCTGCTTGACTGGGAGTTTGAACAACTATTCTCATTTATAAGGAAACTATTTGATTCATTTGAAAGTAACTTGTTGCTGTAGAATCCACTGAAGAAGTCCCCTGGACAATTTATTATATGGAGGATAACTTCCCTTGAGCAAATTGAAATTTAGGGTTCTATTGCAAGACAGTCAAACTAAGATGCTGACAAGATATTTTGTTAAGAATCTAATGGCCTTCAGGCCATGAAGTCAAACCTGCACCCTGTCCATAGTTCCCTGCTGTAGCATAAGTTGAGAGGATCTGACGTGTAAGAGAAATATATATAACTTTGGAGCATTTCCACTGTATACATGACTATGTGTGTTCTTTTAAAGCTTATTCTGAAATCAGAGCATGACCTCTGCTTTATTTGAAGTTTTGAATTATATTTATGTCACCCTTCAGCGTGGTGCTGCTAGGAATTAGCCTGACCTGCAAGCTAACCCAGCACACAGCAATGTAGCAGAAAGAGGAAGGAGGATAGATTGTATTGATGATCAACAGATAACAGTCAATACACCTTTCTATCAAGAGGAAAGGGCTCTCCCACTAAGCAAAGCTTAACAAAATTCCTAGCATAATTATTACAACAGAAATCCCTCCCTTAAATAAGCTTAGCCAGCTAAACACATGCTAAAGATTCTTCTCTCTCTATAACAAACTTTTCCCTAACAGAATTATAAAAGTAATTGACTCTTCTGCCCTTGCAATGTCAATTGTTGTTACTGCCCTTGCCATGCTTCTTCCTAGCGTATGTAATAGACTAACTTATTGCAATTATAATTTAAGACAATTTGCAAGAACCAAGGCTTAAACTTGAGTATTTGATTCACTGATGATTGAATTACAAGGGATAGGCATAACTTGAGGTTATGAATCTCACAGTAGCTTGAGGCCACAAGTCTCTCATGTGTTTTCGCTAATTTCTGGATAGTCTCTACTGTCCCCTAACTACAATACATATACTCAAGACTTAACTAGAACATGTGACATTAATTAACTAAAATAGAAACCCACAAAGGTTATGATTAAAGGAGGCTGCCTTCTTTCCTCAACTTCCCCTTAATTGGCCTTGTCCTGTTGTTCATTGTTCCTTCTCACAATTGACCCTTGCTGCTGCCCCTGTTTTGCGCGCCTGGAGTACACCAAAAGTGGTGGTTGAATTGGTCCGATAGCTTTGTTGACCTTATTGACCCGTTCCATAACATCACTCCCCCTGTGAGCTTCACCTTGTCCTCAAGGTGGAAGGAGGGAAAGCGCTCATTGACTGCATCGAACTCTTCCCAAGTAGCATCATGCGCTGGCAAACCCTTCCAAGTGAGCAGCACTTCAAGCACGAAAACAGGTCCTTTCTTAATGGTGCGCACCTCAAGCAATTCTGCTGGTTCCACCAACAATTCCAAGTCGGGGGAGAGTTGGGGTGGAATCGTGGGCGGGCAGGTAGAGTCCCCTAATGCTCGCTTGAGTTGTGAGATGTGAAATACGGGATGGATCTTGCAATGTGGTGGTAGTTGTAGTTTATAAGCTACTCTGCCAATGCGCTCCAAAATTTCAAAAGGCCCATAGAATCTGGCAGCCAACTTCTCAAATGGTCTCTTCGCAAGTGATTTCTGACGATAAGGTTGCAATTTAAGGAACACTCTTTCCCCAATCGAAAATTCCTCATCCTTCCTTTGTTTGTCCGCGTAACCCTTCATTACTTGCTGGGCTCGGTTCAAATTCAATCGTAGCTCGTCCAATATCGCATCCCTCTCCATTAACATTTCTTCAAGACTGCTAACCATGGTTTGACCAGCCCTTAAACGCCACAGCTTGGGTGGATCTCTCCCGTAAATCACTCGAAAAGGTGTCATCTTAGTAGAGGTGTGGGGTGAGGTGTTATAAGAATACTCCGCCCACGGGAGCCATCGAGCCCAACTCTTTGGTTTTTCCGCAATGAAACATCGCAAATACATCTCCAGGCTCTTGTTCACGATCTCCGTTTGACCATCGGTTTGAGGATGGTAGGACGTGCTTCTTCGGAGATGCGTTCCTTGCAATCGAAACAACTCCTTCCAGAATATACTCATGAAGAATCGATCTCGATCCGACACAATGGATGCCGGAAATCCATGATGTCGGACAACTTCTTTGACAAAGAAATCTGCTACTTTGAGGGCGTTAAAGGGGTGTTTGAGACCAATGAAATGGGCATACTTCGACAAGCGATCCACCACTACTAACACCGCGTCGCTTCCTCGGGATAAGGGAAGACCCTCCACGAAGTCCATTGAAATTTCCTCCCAAACGGCCTCGGGAATAGGGAGCGGTTGGAGCAATCCCAACGGCCGCTTAGTGATAGTCTTGCTTCGTTGACAAACATCGCATTCCCGAACAAATTTAGCCACATCTTTTCTCATCCCGGCCCAAAACCAATCGGCGGTGAGCCGGAGATAGGTCTTGAGCTCACCGTCATGGCCACCAATGGGGGTACTGTGATACTCCTGCAAAAGTAAAGCAATATATTTTGAATGGTTAGGCAATACAATACGATCTTTATAAAAGAGTCTATCCCCTTCAATGTGAAACCCTTTAGGCCCTTCTTTCCCTTGTTTCAAGCCCAACATAATCTGGCCCAATCCTTTATCATTCTCCAACTCCTTCTCAAGATCAGTCCAGTCCACATAACAAGAGTGAACTAAAGACCCAAACTCAACCACTTCATCGTCTTTCTTCGTCCCCTTCACTGGTTTGATAACCAGAGCTTCATCCTTGCGTGACAACGCATCAGCCACCCTGTTGGCGGTGCCCGGTTTATACTGAATGGTGAAATCGAACCCCACGAGTTTCCGAAGCCACCTCTGGTATTCACTACTCACTTCTCGCTGCTCAGTTAAGTACTTGAGGCTCTGCTGATCCGTGCGCACAACGAATGATCGACCCAATAGATAATGGCGCCACTTCGCCACCGCCAATGAGATAGCCATTAACTCCTTCTCATAAATCGATTTGGCCCGAGCTCGCACCCCCAAGAGTTTACTAAAGAAAGCAATTGGGCGATCTCGCTGCATCATTACTGCCCCCAATCCGTATCCGGAGGCGTCGGTTTCCACCACGAAACCTTCGCGGAAATCAGGAACAGCCAGGACCGGGGCTGTGGTCATGGCGGTCTTCAGGTTCTGGAACGCTGCCGTGGCTTCTTCCGTCCATCCGTAATTTTCTTTCTTCAATTGAGCCGTGAGGGGGCCGGCAATCTGAGCATAGTGTTTGACAAACTTGCGATAATAACCCGTTAATCCCAAAAATCCCCTAAGCTCACGGAGATTCCTCGGGGTTTTCCACTCTACAATGGATCGAATTTTATCTCCATCCATGGAAACTCCCTGCTTCGATATGACATGACCAAGATATGCAATTTCACCCTTCCCAAATTCGCATTTCTTATAATTTGCATATAATTGATTTTCTTCCAACTTTTGAAGGACCAACTGTAAATGATGGACGTGCTCTTCCACTGCCTTACTATATATTAAAATATCATCGAAAAAGACCAAAACAAACTTCCTTAAATATGGCCGAAAAACGTCGTTCATAAGTGATTGAAACGTCGCCGGCGCATTTGTGAGGCCGAAAGGCATCACGAGGAACTCATAATGCCCCTCGTGTGTCCGAAAAGCCGTCTTGTGAGTATCGCTCGGTCGAACCCGGATTTGATGATAACCGGATTTCAAATCGAGCTTGGAGAAAACCGTTGCTCCATGTAACTCGTCTAATAGCTCATCAATAACCGGGATTGGATATTTATCGGGAACGGTTTCCTTGTTGAGGGCCCGGTAATCTACACAAAACCTCCACGAGCCATCTTTTTTTTTTCACGAGTAAAACCGGACTTGAGAAGGGGCTAGAAGACGGTTTAATAATCCCAGATTCGAGCATTTCCCGGATAAGCCTTTCAACTTCATCCTTTTGAATTTGTGGGAATCTATATGATCTCACACTAATTGGGTCGACCCCATCTTTAAGAACAATGGAATGCTCATGGCCCCTTTCTGGTGGCAGCCCATTAGGCATATTGAAGACCCCTTTAAATTGGCCCAAGACATTCATCAAGTAAGAAGGTGGGCTAACTTCAGTTGGGCCCATTTCTTGTGTTTCAGCTTGGTTGAATTCGACCCAAAGGTCTAACTTCTCTTTTTTAAGCACCCTCACCATGGCCTTTAACGAAACTTGGGTCTTTTCGAGAGTAGGGTCTCCGGTAAGGGTCACCGGTACACCTCCGATGTTGAACTTCATGATGTGAGTACGCCAATTAGTCACCACCGGACCTAACTTCTCAAGCCATTGAACTCCTAAAATTACCTCGGCACTCCCTAAAGTGAGAGGAAAAAAATCCTCAATAACGGTGATACCTCCCCTCAATTCCACCTTGACTCCCTTACACACTCCTCTACCACGAATTGTATCCCCGTTTCCTAAGGATACCGCAAATTCCCCACCTTGTGAGATGGGTATGGCCGCTTGCTCTACTACCGAAATAGCTAAAAAATTATGAGTAGCCCCGGGATCAATCATCACCACTACTTCTTGCCCTTTTACTACTCCCCTCAACTTCATCGTTTTTGGGTTGTGTATCCCGATCACCGAGCACAACGACATGCCTCCAACTTCTTCCGACAGGGTGTCACTTCCCAACTCCGGCCCTTCGTCCTCCAACTCGACTTCACCCTCCGCGACTAACAACACACTAAGCTCCTTTCTCTTACAACGATGCCCTACACCCCACCTTTCATCACACTTAAAGCACAACCCTTTTGCCCTCCTTTCTGCTAACTCACTCTCGGTCAACCTCCTCGTAACCCCGGAAACACTTTGACTTGGGCCCGACGTGGCCCGGCCCAAATTCACGGACCCTTGGGACTCAGGAGCCTTGGGCCAGGGTTTGGGCGGCCCACTGCTGCTGGGCAGCCCGTAGGAAGCTATGAGGCCTCCTTTACTGAAGGTTGGGTTGCCTTGCATTGGGCCAGAGTTTGAGGGCCCAGCCGTTGACCCACCTCTCCAATTACTTAATGGCTTCTTTCCCAGCTGAACCCGATTCTTCTCTTCTATTCTTCCTGCCATTTCCATGGCTCTTTCAAGGTTAGGCGGGTTGAGGAGTCTCAGCTCCGATTTCACTTCCCTGTTCAACCCGTGGATGAATTGCCCTAACATGATACTCTCCGGCACGTCCTCTAGCGGCGCCGCCATCTCAATGAATTTCCGACGGTATTCTGCCACCGACCCCGACCCTTCTTGCGTCACCGCCAGCCACTGTTCGTGGAGCGTTCCCGAGTGGGAAGGTCGGAATTCGCTCAAGGCCCTCTGCTTGAGGTCCGGCCACCCATAAAAAGGCCGCCGCTTTTGCTCCCACTGGAACCATTTCAGAGCGGCTCCATCCATCGCCACTACCGCTACCTCCATCTTTTCCTTCTCCGTCAATTTGTAAAAATCAAAGTACATTTCGGCCCTCGCCGTCCAATTATCGGGGTCTGACCCGTCGAAGAGTGGCATCTCCAACTTCCGGTGCTTCCAGTGACCGCCTCCGCCACCGCCGCCGCCCTCTCCGGCTCCTCTCCAGCGCCAATCCCCTTGTTCAAAGTGCGGCCAGTCTTGCTCTTCGTACGGCTTCTCTCTACCTGGCGTGAGGTTATTCCCCCCACCCAATCGCGGGCTGTTCTCTTCCACCACCGGAATAGGTTGCTGCATTCCTTGTGCTTGAGGTTGCCTCGTTTTCTCCAGTTCCTCCTGTAATTTGGTGATCTTCTGGCGATCGATTGCGGCTTGTGTATCGACCGTGGATCGGAAGCGAATCAAACGTTCCTCCACCTTATCAACGGCGGCTGTTACGTTCTCCTCGGTTTTCTTCCTTTCCTCCGCGATTTTTTGTCTCTCCTCCTCCATGGCAGCCCTTACGGCTGCTGTTACTGCTCGCGACAGGTTGTCGTCCGGGGTTTGTAGTTTCTCCACGATGGTAGCCATCTGGGCTTTCAGGTCTGCCAGCGTTCCCTCCAGGGCGTCCACCCTCTGCGAGGTGCTGTTTTCCATCTCTCTTTTTTTTTTTTTTTTTTTTTTTTTTTTGGCTTACAAGGGGGGTGGTGGATTCCGGTGACCACGGCCGCAGGACCACCGCTCTGATACCAAGTTTGTAATAGACTAACTTATTGCAATTATAATTTAAGACAATTTGCAAGAACCAAGGCTTAAACTTGAGTATTTGATTCACTGATGATTGAATTACAAGGGATAGGCATAACTTGAGGTTATGAATCTCACAGTAGCTTGAGGCCACAAGTCTCTCATGTGTTTTCGCTAATTTCTGGATAGTCTCTACTGTCCCCTAACTACAATACATATACTCAAGACTTAACTAGAACATGTGACATTAATTAACTAAAATAGAAACCCACAAAGGTTATGATTAAAGGAGGCTGCCTTCTTTCCTCAACTTCCCCTTAATTGGCCTTGTCCTGTTGTTCATTGTTCCTTCTCACAATTGACCCTTGCTGCTGCCCCTGTTTTGCGCGCCTGGAGTACACCAAAAGTGGTGGTTGAATTGGTCCGATAGCTTTGTTGACCTTATTGACCCGTTCCATAACAGCGTAAGTGAATATCACTGGAGGTCTGGAAGGATCTCTAGAGGTGCTTGATTACTAACCAACTAGGTGGTTAGTAGATCTGATCTTGCGCTGTTGCAGTAAAAGAATTGTATTGTATGCATGCATATATTGTCAGATACCTTTGTTTCAACCCAATATTTTTTCATGATTTTTCATCCTGTATTATAGGAGGAGCTGTATATTCTCACATCCTATATAATAGAGGCTATATATGTTCTCGTCCTTCATAATAGAAGCTATAATTTACTTCTCCTTTATCAACCAATGTGTATGCATGAGATTTATCGACATTTACTTTGCAGATACAACTTAAAATCTTGGCAGAGGAAATGCAAGCTATTAGCAAAGGGTTAGAAAAGGTTGTTCAAGAGCTGACTGCCTCAGGAAATGATGGCAATATTTCAGAATGCTTTTGCACGGTTAGTGTTTAGTTCTTACTTTGTATTCCTTTGTGCTCATTTCTGTTATTAAAGATCATATGGCTCCCTAGGTTAGGTGATCTTTGGTTCATCAGCTTAGATCAAAGCACCATGAAATATTGAATTTCCACTCTGATATTTCATATGGACTTTTCTTAAATTGTCATTTATTTTTATTTTAGATTATTGTTTAACCCGTGTTGAGACTTTTCTTGTACTTTACTGTGCCAATATTTTGTTTGTTATTGAATCATAAATGTGCCATTTTTTAGGCTAAAACTATTTCATTAATTGAAAGTCATACTACAACATATGTATCTTCTTGGATCAAGTAAATTATCCCTTCTATAAAATTATGATCGTTGTATATCAGATCTGTTTGTTCTTCATGCCCTCTTTCATGTCGCTGCTTCATACAGCCTTAATAATGAATGTGCGTAAGTCGCAGTAAATAAGTGTTTATTATGGCTGAATGACCTTTGCACTCCTTGGTTTGCCTTAGAAATGAAGAATTTGCTATGCATGTTGCCATTGCTTCTTGAAACTGCCTCATTTGTGAATACTAATAATCTGCTAGGGCAGTCTCAACAAGAAGATTGAATTGCTGAAATAAGGAAAGAATAAATAGGCAATTAAATATTTATGTGTTGATAATCAAGCCAAATTACACCAAATACAGGCTAACCACTCATTTGAGAGGAATGACACTCCCACTCGACAAACCTGTAATCAAATTTCAGAATACTTTCTTTGTCAACTGCTTGCTTATTTATAACATTACTGACTTGCACAAAACTCAGATACATTCATACGTAACTAATATCTTTACTGAACATTTACAAATACCCCCGTAACTAACTCAGAATTTATTCCTCTCTCATTCTCTCACTATCTTATAGAATATGTTTGTATGTTCAGGGGTCTGTATAGACTGTATTGATTTCCTGCATTATCTTTGCAGATTTGTATCCTCTTGTGCAGATTAGTCTATTGTGATTTTTTTTGGTGTTTAAAGAGCCACAGGAGTGGGTGATGAGAATCGATAACAATAATTTATTGATTGATCTCTTTTGAAGATAGTTTGTTTGTTTCCGATACATCGTGCTTAAGCTACAGTTCACCAAAAACTATATACCCCGTTTCACTGTTTTAGTGTGTTATCTTGGGAACATGAACATCAATTGCTGTAAAGATCACATTAAAAACATAGATACGTCGCACTTATAATGCTCTTAATTTGCCACTATACCCTAATGACAAATTTAAATTTAATTTGTGTCCTGCTATCCTGGATTATGTTCTAGTCTGTTCTAGAAAGTTTATCTTTGTCACTTTATTTGCATTCTATAGATATTCAATAGTCCTTTGTTTTTACTGAAAATGTGAATAAATCCTCTAGTACCAGCCAGAGTTGACCTGCTTGATTTGATTAGTGTGCAAATGAGCTAAAAATGTTATATGTTCTCAAAATCTCAAGACATCTCAAGATTCTCGACTGCTGATTTGCTAAACATAGTGATTTACGAAGTTTTTTTTTTATTTAATTATCTTTCTCAAGTTCTTTTTAACTTCTTGTTGAACAGATCTTGAAGAGGTTTCTTTCTTACGCGGAGGGTGAAGTGAGGTCTTTGGCGTCGCTTTATTCTATCGTGGTATGTTTATGTTGTTCCTTGAGGCTTCATTCTTTTGAACTTATTGGAGCTTATATGGATTTATTGATCGATCGATCTCATTTTTAGTTTTGAATTGAACTTGAGTAGCTCTTATGTGAACTTATACAACAACAATAACAACAGCAACAACAACATCATAGCCTTAGTCCAAAAATGAGTTGGGGTCGGCGAACATGAATCATCATAAGGAAATGTCCGAGAAGGAAAAAGAGTATAGCAAATAATCGATTGATTAAAAGCTGGAAAAAGTGCGTAAAGTAAAGAGAAAGAATTAACAAATAAAATTTATGAGAGTTTTAAAAGAGAGTAGTAAGGGGATAAAAAGGGGAGGAAAAACATCATCTTATGTGAACTTGTTTCCATGGTAAAAGGACTAGTAAATTGTTTTTTCATGTTAATAGAATGAGATTTATGAGAATAGATGTTTTGAACTAAGGTTTTTGGCTATTAAAGGAATAGATCTCTGCTTTCTTGCTAGAATGCTATGAAGTATATTGTAGCTACCTCCATTAGCTGATACAAACATGTAATGAAATTGCTGCTCTTTTTTTAAGGGCCAATTGGTGTTCTTTTAACTAGTGGTGTATTAAGGGAACAATCACTCCATTTGGCTACTCTTTTTCGTACCGAAAAAAGCTTACATAGGCCTTAGCTAAAATTCTCTGGTTTAATTTATGACATTGTAATTAAACCCTTATGATATATGTTTTCAGGGTAGAAATGCTGATGCTTTGGCTATGTATTTTGGTGAAGATCCAGCAAAGGTTCCATTTGAACAAGGTACAGATCCATACTTGCCAATAATGTGTCTTTGAAGTGTCCCCCCCAAAAAAAAAAAAAAAAAAAAAGAAAAAAAAGAGAAAAAAAAAAAACATTTGGATGTGATTATGATTTTTATCTGCAATACTAAGAGCCACTCAAGTATTTTGTTATTGATGTTTTGGCTGCAGTTGTGTCAACCTTACAGAACTTTGTTAGGATGTTCCATCGAGCACATGATGAGAACTGCAAACAGCTTGAGTTTGAGAAGAAAAAGGCAGAGAAGGAAGCTGAGAATGAAAAGTCGAAGATGAATGCTCGTGCGAAGGACCCTGACCACCATGTGCAGCAGTTGCCTCGGAAATTTGGCACCGTGAAATGAGCAATCTACTCATAGCCTAACCCAAGGGCCATCAATTACAAATCTCTTGGTGATTCTGCCAGAGGAGAAGCTAGTATGCTCAATGTTGTGACTTGTGAGGAAATACACAAAACTTAAACAGGGAGCTTTGTGACACAGATTATTGTTAATGTACAGCGTAATTCATTTAATTGTAGTTAGAAAGGTTAGATTATATGGCTAGTGATTTGATTATTATGGGTTCTTTTAGAGCCTTAGCTGTAAATTTACCCACCTTTGTTGGGTACCATTCTTTGAAGAATATGTATATCAGGGACGTCAGTTTTTCATAGTCCCCTATACGACCGAGGTGATTGTAACAGATGAACAACACTATTGGTGTAAAAACATTTACCATCTGAATATTTTTGTGAGTTATTTTACAGCATATCAATTTTCAACTAAAGTCTCATATTCTAATTTGTCTTTGAATTCTATTTTAGCTAACTGCTGAGTCAACTGACTTTTGTGATACTTAGAACGAAACTGATAAAAAGAACAGAAAGAAGAGCAAGTCTTAGGCACTGTTTGATTCACCTTAATTTTGCTGAACTGAAATTATTTTTACTGAACTGAACTTATTTTTACTGAACTGAACTTAATTTTACTGAACTGAAATTATTTTTACTGAACTGAAATTATTTTTTACTGATTTTCTATTATAATTCTTCTTTGAGAAAACTGAATTTTACTGAACTGAAATTATTTTTACTGAACTGAAATTAATTTTAATGAACTGAAATTATTTTTACTTAATATTATTTTTTTACGGTGAAGAGAACAGGGCCTTACATGTGCAATTAGATAATGGTAAGAAAAAACTTATATGAACTTAAGGTGCATTTAAGGATATTTTCTGCTTAATTTTAAATTAAACTTTCTTATTTCTCTGCTTTATTTTAATTGCAACATACGACACAAAATAGGGTTTAAATAAGTAGATGGTGTTGTCTATCAAATAACTTTCCATTCTACTATAAAATAGGGTACTAGGCTAGTCTATCACTGTAATTAACTAATGAGATTTGTCCTACTTTAACTTCCTATAACGTATTTACTGTTTTATTTGCTTGTCTTTAACACTTAAAAAAATATACATATATAAGTGAAACACTTAAAATACATAGAAAGTAATACTCTCTTCATTTTAAATTAAATGATATTCTATTTAAGTTACTTCATCCCAAATAAATAGGAGAGTATATAATTAGCTTATAACATGCATCTACATAATTGTCAATTGTGTTTCACAAAAATGAATTTTATTTTTTTAGAAGTCTCAGCCGTCTTCACAACTGAACCATTTTCTCTATTCATACTAAAGATGATATTTTGGTTCATATCCCATCCTATTATTATGATCAAGACAAAAGTCGATATTGATTGACTTTTTTTTTTGAAAAATTTCTCCCATCACCTCAATACTTGTATTTATACGTATCTTTTGTGTAGGCTGTCATTCTTTTAATTAGTTAGTGGTTGGGTCAATTGGTTTGCCATCAACTTTATAAAATATTGTCCTATTTGGGCCAAAAAAGTCAGAAGTCAACTATAGGTTGAAGTCAAACCCAATCTGTGAACATTATGGATATATTGGATATTTATGCTCGGTTAATTTACTTGTTTATCTCATCTACTACTCTTTACTATACAATTAATCACATTGTTTTCCTGTTCATATAACTCGTAAGTCATCTTGATGGCAGGAGATAATAAAATATACAGAGGTTTTACAGTGTGGCATACCACATGGTGTGACAGGGGTTACTTGTAGGGTGTTACTGATTTTGTTAGGGGTTACTTGTAGGTATTACTTGTATTTGGGTTACTTGTATGAATTATTTGTAGGTGTTACTTGTATTTTGGGGTTAGTTGTATGAGTTACTTGTATTTTGAGTAACCCCTATAGGTAACCCCAGACCAAAGCCCCATACCAAACAAGTAACACTCTACAAGTAACCCCTGATCAAAACCAATAACACCTTACAAGTAACCCCATAATACAAGTAACACTCTGACCAAAACCAGTAACACCTTACAAGTAACCACAAAATACAAGTAACACCCTACAAGTAACTTCTGTCGCACCATGTGTCCAACCACATACAAAAATTTGTATAAAACATAATAAGTTGATAAATTAAGGAGAAAATTAAGCTACTAGCTAGCTACCTTATCCTCAAATTAATTAGCTATTAAATAATGAATACCCGATGATCAATCTCAGCTCCTAAAAATAAAATTAATCAATCATGATCAATTTTAGTAAAATCTATCATGTATGTGAAATTGTGAATGCTTAATTATTAAAGGTTGAGACAATAATGTACGATTACTGAGTAATAAATTAAATATTAGTGGTTGGGACGAATGATTCTTAATTTAAATGTTGTAGGACTATTGACTAATTAATATTCATATTTGCCGTACCAGCTTAATTAATAATACTAAATATTACTTGTGAAAGCCAAAAAATTATTACTCCGTAATATTAAAACAAAACAACTAAGATTTCCTTTGAATCTCTCTCATACAAACTTGTTGCTAACCAACAAATTCGTCACTCTTGACTTCAAATAATGTATGAAGAATCAATGGAACTAATTTTGAATCCAAAAGATGAAATAATAGTCCGTATTAAATATAATTATTATGATGTCACGAATGATGAAATGCACCAATTTATTGTGGGGAAGAATGGGAAGAAGACTTAGGACTGAATTTGAAGACAATAGACCTTGAAATTTTAGAGAACTTAAGTTGTTATTATGAAATATTTGATATTTTTTAGTCAAGGTATTCGGCTACTCCGTGTATAGAAATTTTAGAGAACTTAAGTTGTTATTACACGAGTATAGAAAATGTTTATTAGTTCATCATTGAATTCAATTTTATGAAGTATTAAAAGTCTTCGACATTTATCGACGAGCTTTCAATATTTATAACAATAACATTAAAAGTTTTATCACGACTCGTTTGGTAAGTGGCAGCAAACGGTGAAATGAGCATGAATTACGGAGTAGTACATAAGATACGTTTGTTTTCTCGAAAAATGTACATAAGTTTGTATGATACTCTGTAACTAATACAACTATTAGATAGCTGATGTTCATTTCTGATAGAGTATAAAACATTTTCCTAGGCCTCAATCATTAGCTGATGGTTGAGGCCCAGAAATATGTTTTATACTCTATCAATTTCAATGATGTTGGAAATGAAATTGTACAATAATTTGTATGGAATTAATTGTAATGTACATGATGTGTTAACTACATTGTGAACAACCAATACAATTTGCTAAATTGTACAAGTACTCTGTATATTTCCTTTCACTAATTAATATCCATAACTTCTTGTCGACCTTTTAAATTATGTCAAAGGTGTACCTGGATTGGATAGAGTGTTCGGTACTCCAAATCGATCAATTTCAAGGGTTATCCACTCCTAGAAAGAAAAACCATGAATTTTTTTTTAAGAAAGCTACAATCACCAACTTTAAATGAAATACATACCATATTCAACCATGTCTCTATTTTTATAAGGATAGATGGATAAGAAATGCAAAGATCTTAGAAACCCTAGTACGATACGAGCAGTGTCGATCAAATGAGCTCCGTGAATGTTACTCTCATTTATTTCTTCCCCACCAACACATTAACTTAATCATTTGACTATTGTGATCTTTGAGAACGAACTAACTAGCTTTAAATTGACAAGCAACTACATTTATATCCTTTAATTTTTTTGTTTCTATTCTTTTTTATATTGATGGAATAACTGTCCAATTGTCATAGTTATCTCAATATATATTCTTACATAACACTAATACTCTATGAGTTATTCTTTTTGTTCATCTTTTTAACTATTAACTACTCCCTCCATCCCTTAATTAGATTCCTATTTCTCTCTATTATGTGAAGAATAATGCTAGAAATAGAAATTTAATTAAGGGACAGAGGAAGTAGTGTTTAGCCCGAGCAATACCCCAGGTCGATATGTTAAATATTTATGTATTATAATTTTCATGTATTATTATATTTTAGGTAGATGAATTTTACTTATAATATTTTGTATGTACGGAGTACATAATAATGTTAAATATTTTTATTTTAAATTTAGTCTAAAAATTATTTTTTTGTGTAAAAGTACAAGAAAAACACTCTCATGGTCTACATTAAATAAATTTAAGAAGAATCAATCAATTACATTATACTAAAGGCGAATTTAGAGGGACACTTAGCAATATAATATAAAGAATTTTCCCTCCAAGATAACATACTAAAAAACCTTATTTTTATGTTTGTATCTAAATTTTGATTTTTGATTTCTACACAATATAACTAATATATAAAGCTAAAATTTTAGCCAGGTCACAAAATAATGACACTTGACATTCCAACTTTTTGCCAAGTGTCGCGCCACCTTGGATAGATTTAAATAGACTTCATATGATAAAAAAACCGTCAAGTGTCGCGCCACCTTGGATAGATTTCATAAGACAAAAAAGATTAGGTAAGAATTCTATTTTCAATCAAATTAGGATAGAATTTTAGAATAAGATTATTAGTTTAGAGTTATTTCTTCGATAAAATACCAAATAATAAATTTATAATTAGGCCACAAGACAACATCATTTAGCGTTTTAATTTTTCGCCAAGTATCGTACCACGTTAGATAAATATAGATTGACTTTGAAGCAAAAAAAAAAGTTAATTTAGAATTCTATTTTCAATCAAATTGAATTATAATAGTATAATTTTATCTTAAAAGTCCATAAACTACATAAACTTTTTAAATATCACATTGCCCATTATAGTTATTACATATCTAATTATTTTCTATCACATATATATCATACCTTTTTTTTTTTTGAAACAATATATTTCATCCTTTTTTTTTCTTTGGAAGAAATATATTTCATACTTTTTAATTAATACCGAGTTATACTTTTTTGATAGAATTTATTGTAAATATAATTATTTGAAATCGTGCATTGCACAGGATTTAATCTAGTAAGTTAACTAAAATATTAGATACTCCGTAGTAAACTTGGTATGATTTTTTATTCATTTCCCAATGGACCAATGTTCGATTCTTGACATATACATTCTTTTTCAATTGACATGTAGCATTCATATTTCTAATTGAGTGATATGGCATGCTTTTGGTGGAAGAAATGGGTGACATGTGACATGTATCCTTGATTACAAACGTCTTTTAATATATATATATAGTATAGATTTTTTGTGGGATAAAAAATAGTCAAAGTGGAAAGAATAAAAAGAATTCAACGGATCATGGAGTATGTAAGAATCAAATATATGGTCCGACAAAATTAAAGCAAGCAAAATAAAGGATGAAAAACACATGAGTAAATTTAAGTTTACAAGTCTGATTTACTAAAAT